TTAGATCAGCTGTCTGTATCAGCCCGCCCATAAATATTGCAGTCAGCTGATGAGAACTACAGTTCATTTTGGATGTTAAATAAACCTCTTAGCTGTGGAAGCTGAAAGAAGAGGTATTTTTTGGGGGGGGAGGGTGTCAAAATCTGAAATGTAAGCATGAAAATATTTAACTATTTGTTAAGCACAGAAGATCATGTTTTCTGATCTTCGGTTTTTTATACTTGCATACTTTATTTATTTGGCTTTTAGCTGAGGGATGCATTTCTTGGGACTTCTAGGTGGAAACATGGTTTTATAAAGAGAAGAGGAGAAAAGGAAATAGATGGAAGAAGGAAGAAGGATGAGATGAATAAGTACATAACAGGAACCTCTTTAAAATGCTAATAACATAGAAGACACTTGGGATGCATGTAATTTGGGGAAATATGACATTTGGCTGCTTAACAGTGATACTCAGACATAATTCAAAATGCCTGAAATTCAACAATGGCATTAAAGACACGTCTAAAAGCCCTGCAGGCATGGGATATGGTATCTAAATGGTTTTTATTAATATGATATGCCATAACAAGCAATTGCACAGAGCCAAAGGTGAAAAGTCGGCTGAATTTAGAGAACTAGAAGGCTCTTAAAGTTAAGGAGTCTAGTTATTGGGTGATATAAGTAAAGAAAGGTAAGCAGAAAGACAGAGGGTTGAAGGGCCTCTCATATACCCATTTTTTGTCTCCCGAGTGGTCTTCCGCTCAGTGAGTGGAAATATTAAATACAGTGGTGCCCCACAAGACGAATGTAATTCGTCCTGCGAGAACCGCTGTCTTGCGAAAAAATCGTCTTGTGAGATGAATGAAATTTATTTGTCTTGGAAGGCATCAGGGTCTTGGGGGAAAAAACCCGTCTTGCAAAGCATAATCATAGAATAAACCGTCTTGCGAAGCACCATAGCGATCGCAAAAACCAATCGTCTTGCGGGTTTTTCGTCCCGTGAGGCAATCGTTTTGTGAGGCACCACTGTACTACTTCTCCAACATCTGATGAGGTACAACAATCCTGACTGGGTAAGCTTTCAGCCTTAAGAAACGGACAGGGAGGATAGCAGTAAGAAGCTTGGGTTTCGGAATTCCTGAACATCACTTTTTTCAGGATATGGCCTTTTGGCCTTCAGTCCAGTATGAGCACTCAGCCTGTTATATACTGGTTTCGTTCAACTTCTCATTCATGCAATTGCAAATTTTAGCGCAAGTCAGTTTCACAATGAGAGAAATTTACGCCCCATTAACCATGGTTGGTTGCTATTTTTCTGAACTGTTTGCAATCAAGAGTGACTCTGACTGAGTCCCTACATTAGAGGACTGAGGAGAGAACCCCTGTGATCGAGGTTAAGAGGACCGTTCAAGGCAACAATCCAGACACAACAGTCATCTGCCACTGGGCCAGTCACAAGCCAGAAATAAAATTTACAGCCAGAGCTCAAGACGATTCCACTTTAAAAGGTACTCATTGTGTTACACATTAATTCCCAGTATCTGTGTTGCTGCGGTTGTTATCGACACTTCAGGGAAGTGAGTAATTCATTCTGCTGTGTTTTACAAATGTGTTGCCTCATTGTTACCCATTGGACAGGAAAACACAGCGAAATACTCCCTCATTGCTTCTAATAGGAACTGGTATAGTTCAGACAGAGCTAGTACAGCTCAGTGGGTTGGAGCACCTGGCAGAAGAACTAGGGGTCAGAAGTTTGGCAGCACATATGCTAAAATTAGGATGATACTGAGAAAATTAGAAGTTCAAATCACCACTGCTGCTCATTTGGAATGTGTGTTGCTGATGGGTTACATCACTGGTCCCCAACCTTGGGCCTCCAGATGTTCTTGGGCTACAACTCCCAGAAGCCTTCACCACCACCTCTGCTAACCAAGATTTCTGGGAGTTGAAGTCCAAGAACATCTGGAGGGCCAAGGTTGGGGACCACTGGGTTACATGCCAGGCCACCTGTGCAGCTTTCGACCTGCAGTCCAATTCCTGAGTGCTCTCAGAAGGAGGAACCAGTCAATCGCATATGAGTACCTTATAGGTAGAAAAACCCTGCCAGGGTTGTCACATGCGATAACCACCCTGACAGCAGATACTAATTATTATTATTCTATCTAGAAAACATTTTTTTTCAGACAGGCTTTAAATATTTAATGTCTAATTAAATATTTAATGATAACTAATGGCTAGTTATCTGATGGTGTGTTGCTATTTATATCATTTTTGATGTGCTTTTAAAAAATGCATATTTTTAACTTGCTTTGATACGGTCACTTTAATATTGTTATGGTTAATAAAGTCTTAATGCTTCTTGTATATTTCTAAACTCCTTTTGTTGTTGCTTTTTTAATGATCTGTGAGTCTCATTGAGATCCATCATGGAAACCTAAGAATATTTTGCTCTTCTTTTAGATTTTTTCCAGTTTCTGGTTATGGCTTACTCAAACTGGCTGATCAGCATCTGGTACTCCCTAAAATGCAAGTTTTCTATCTATGGAGGTGAATCATTGGGGACATTTTCCTAAAGGCTTTTTATCAGCTGCTCCAATTTCCTCCATGGCAGTTTTATTCCTGTGTGCTGGAAGTGCAAAAAGGGGTATGAAACATCCTATCCGATTGGAGAAGTTGTTCTGATTGCCTATGGACCACTGAAGCATCATTACACTCCTAAATGGCCAGACCTTTGGAGAAAGAAAGATAAGCCGAGGAGTGGAAGGGGGTGCCGAAGTTTCATCAGAGAAGCAAAATAAAATTCAGCCCTGCAGCAACCAAGGAGGTACAGTTTAAAAGGGTATTTTTTTTCTTTGCTTTTTGCTTGTGTGCAGGGAGATATATTCTTGAGCTCCATAGCAACCCCCCTTTCCCAACAAACATTTACAGGTAGATATTCAGTTTAGTTCAATTCATTTAGTACTAAGATCAACAGCTGTTGATAAATCCTTCCGTGAATTTATTTCTTCCTTTCAGGATTCACAGCGGACCGAATATTCTCCCAGCAATATTCAAAGTTTGTTTTTCGGAAGCAAAATGCAAGGGGTTGTTCATGTATTTTAAATGTGCTAAAAGTTGGAAAGAGAAAAAAAAACACCCTGCTTTTTGGTTTATAAAGGGAGGAAAAAGCAGGGAGGGCAGATCTAAAGTGAAACTCATCAAGACTTAAAATGTCAGATCAATGAACTATTATTTTCAAATGTTCTCTGTTTCTGCATCCAAGGCACAAAGCAGTGTTTATAGCATATTAATTGACAAATGCTAGCTAACATGTTCTTAAATCACGACCTCCGTTCCCGCCCCAGACACGCCTGAGGTAGCAACACAGCACCGCGATGAAAATTTTCCGGTCCTTACTCATGCGTGAAAATAAATTAAAATAAAATTAAAATAAATTGGAAGAGAGACTCAACTTTAACAGCACGACCATCCTGCTAGGCCATTATCAAACCCCATTACACACTTAGGTAATTATCACAGACCAGTGTCTTGAGGGCACTCCGCTAACTAAAGAGACACTTGGTGTTACTAATGTGAACCCTGATCTTCCAGAGCTTACAACCAAGGGTTATGCTTTACTATTGTGAGTAATCCCATTGGTTCCAACTGGATCTCTTTGGTTATGAAATATGCATAGGATCATCTTTATGAAAGCATGGGAGGGATGATAAAAACATTTAATTGGTACAAGAAGAAGAGGAGGAGAGAATGGGCCTGTCAGGTGCCCAGCTTGAATAGAAAATCTCGTGGGACAAATACTCTGGGTTGTTTTTTTTTAATGTTCTGGAACCAGAACACAATACAGCCTTGCTCTTCTAATCTGGATTACACATGTATTTGGTCCTTCGCAATGCTTGGAAATGTTACTTATTCTGGGCTTCATTAGGCATCCTTCAGTCTCGAAAGACTATGGCAACGTGCTGTGTATAGAGATCTTGGAACATCATCTAGTGTGGCTGAGAAGGCCAGTTCAAGAGTGACCATCCCTTCCACACTGAAGACTAAATACAATCTGTCCCCTGTCCAGCTCCCTAATTTTGCTGCTTTCAGGACTGCCTTTTTGCCTCAGCCTACTGGACAAGGGTCTTCTCTTCAAATTGGGAGAGGCCGTGATGCACCGCCTGCCTCCAGGCAGAACGCTCAGATGTCAGGTTTTCCCATCTGTTGAGGTCCATTCCTAAGGCCTTCAGATCCCACTTGCAGATGTCCTTGTATCGTTTCTGGGCTACGACTTCCAGAATCCTCAAACTCAGAGGTCTTTGACTTTCAATTATGTTTCAATTGCCCGGATACAGAACTTGTAAGCTACGGGGCTAGCTAAGTAGAGGTGGTTGCCCCAGGCAGTGGGGCAGTGACAGTGCCACAAAACACGTACATTAGTAACAGTAATAATCTTAGAACTGTAGAGCTGGAGGGCACCCTGTGGATCACTGGATCCATCCCATTAAGGAGGCACAGTAGAGAACCGAACTGCCAACCTCTGGCTTGGCAGCCAGATGCCTAAAACAATGAGCTATCCCAACACTTGCCACTGCCTGAACAGGTTGGTGCCAACATCTTGCTTTGACTTGCCCCCAAAACCGTTGCAGATTACAATGGACTCCTTAGAGCAGTGGTCCCCAACCTTGGGCCTCCAGATGTTCTTGGACTACAACTCCCAGAAGTCTTCACCCCCACCTTTGCTGGCTAGGATTTCTGGGAGCTGAAATCCAAGAACATCTGGAGGCCCAAGGTTGGGGACCACTGCCTTAGAGGATGAATTGATAAACCCAAAATATAGTAAATGTAATAGCAACAACAGGATTTATGCATATAGCTAAAGGATCTTCAGTATACAATAGGTGCTAGGCAAAACATTTTTTAAATTAGAAGCTGGTGATCCACTACCTGAGTACCATTATTATTATTTGTTAATGTTGTTTTATCATTCTTAGAAACGAAGCCTTGCTCACACAACCAACCCCCAGAGATGTACGTACTGGTCTCGGCGGTCTCGTATTCGCTGTCTCTCAGCAGCTCGAAAATGTCCACCTCCACTTTGGCTTTCCCCACCCGCTCTGGGGCTCGATTAATCCGATTCTTGGCCAGCGTGATGGACAGCCTTTCACCTCTGCTGCACTCCATTGGATCGTCCAAAATGGCAGCTGTGGGAAGAGAGTGGAAGGTGAGCTGGGCATGGAAGGAAAGCAATATAACAGAATCCTTAATGGCAATTCTCAAGCTGCACGCTTAGGGGTTATTTAGCTTTCCAGCCCCTTTCAAGCAAGAAAGCAGCCTTCAAAACAGGGCATAAGCAACAAATCTAATCTGCTCCCCAAAATGTGTGCATTTCAGCAGAGGAGAAAGGAGCGCTGTGCTCTGTTTCCTTGTGGAAAGGTTTAAAAAACAGAGGACATTTAACATTAATCTCAATATTCAGCGATGCACCAGAAAGAAATCTGCAGAATCGTTTGTCAGGGCTTGTTAATAAAATATGCTGCTCTTGACTATTCAATTTTAGTCAGAAAAGAGGGTCAGGAAAGGAAATTTGTATTATTATTATTGGTGCATGAATTATTCTCAGTACATCTATCTATTTAGTGCACTCAATACCCCCCATGAATCTAGTAGTGACTAGAAGAAACACTGCACTAATCTACACACATCCAACCTCATCTGATTTCAGAAAATAAGGAGGTTTAGTTTGGCTAGTACTTGGGTTGAAGACTATCAGGGAATATCACGGATCTCCACATCGGGCTGCGAAAGAATCCTGGTAATAATGGGTGAGACAGAACAAGAATCTGACTTGTATAAGGCAGTTTCTTGTGCTTTGATGCAATGCCGTCAAGACGTTATGAGCCAAACAGACAAGGCACTGCTAGCCAAGTTTCTCAGCTCCTAGGGAAAGATGCAGATACCACAAAGAGCCTAGGGAAGACATACAGAATGGAGGAAGCAGGGGGGGGGTTGGAAAGGACAAGACAGCTTGAAGATAGCAGGTTAAGCAGGGGTTCCTGGGAAGAAGAAATGGTTTGGAGGAATACAGCCCGGAGAAGACAAGGGGAAAATGGGAGAGAGGAAGACTTCCTAAAAGCAGGAGCTGTACAGGTAGGGGCTCATGACCTGAGCAGCAAGGAAGAGCAGTCCCATCCTTCAGTTAGGCTATCGGTCCACCTTGCTCAGTTTTGTCTGCATTAGCTGTCAGCAGCTCCCTGGGGTTTCAGACAAAGGTCTTTCCCAGCCACACCAGGAGAGGGTAAGGATTAAAACTGGGACCTTTGGCATGCACGTGTTTTCACCCCTAAGCTACAGCCCTCTCACTCCACCTTCCCAACAGTATGAAAACTCCTTTCCCCAGCAAGCAACTGCTGCATGCTTCTTAGGTATGAATACAGCAATCATGATGGCCAAGGCAAAAGGATTCATCGCAACATGAGCTTTTGTGCATTGAAACCCACCTTCACAGAGTGTACACAGAGCATACACTTAGAGATGGCCATGAACCGGGAAAACGGTGGTTTGTGAGAGTTCGTCGCTGTCACGAACTACAAACTTTCCAACGAAATGAACCATTTTGTGGTTCATGCAATTCGTGAGAGTTCATCGCTGTCATGAACTACAAACTTGCCAAGAGAATGAACCATTTTGTGGTTCATGCAATTCGGGACCTTGAGGAGTGTTAGAATGGTCCCTGAACCCGACTTTGAGGAGTGTTAGAATGGTCCCTGAACCCCAACTTTCAACTGCACCCAGTCTTCAGCTGATTCTCCTCCCCATCCCTTCCATGCTTGGCAAAGAACACTCTCCTGAGGGGACTTGCTTTGTGTGTGTGTGTGTGTGTTGTACGAGTTATAGCCCAACACCGATAAGAGATTGGTATTTCATTTCCTTTTGAGCAGGTGCGTTTCCCCAAAGTGCCCCAAAACCAACCACAAAATGGCCCAATTCATGGATTTTATTTTTTAAAAATGTTTGCTTCATGGGTCATTTGGTGACCATCTATAACCATAATCTTAGGACTTTAGATATATAGGGATCTTGAACATGGTTTATGGTGGGATCGGAGCAAAACAGGGTGGAGGAAGCAACAATCATCTTAATAACAGAAGCACTGGTGAGAGTTAAGTTAGGCAGTTAATACATATGGAGCAATGAATATGTGTTATCCAGTACAAACAACTTGAGAACTATTTACCTCTGGGATTCTAAGGCAACAAGATTTATTCTGTTTTGCTGAAGCTGCAAAGTGTACTCCTGCATGCTTGAAGCGGCATAATACGGCCCATGCACGAAGCTGTTGTGTTGAACAACTATTAGTACATGTAACCTGCTAAGAAACCATTAATCTGATTCACACTCCCAGGGACAGAATGAAGCTTACTTACCAACCTACTCGTAATTCTTCTGACCCCTGCTCTCAGCTGGCTATGCAACATTCAAGGCTAGGTCCAGCCAGTATAAAGACTGAATAGCACAGACTCTCACCGTGAATATTTTTCACTATCCCAATCACTTCCTCAAGCTTTTCGTCAGAGGGTATTTGAATTTAATATCTCTCTAAAAAGCCTTGCTCTTCTAATAATGGTCTTTAGTACTCTTTCATTCCTCCAAACTAACAAGGATGGCGCTCCTCAAATGTGGGTAAAAGAGGGGGACAAAATACAATCATGGAAAGGTTCAGGAAAAATTCAAACAGGTTTCAAATATCGTCAAACCACCTTAAAAACCTTAACAGCCTCTCAGAAACTTTCCTAGCATCTCAAACTATTTGCTGAGAGATAATCAGAGGGAGGGAAAAATATTTACGCATACCAGAGAGACTTTGGGCATTATTATTGTCAAAAATTACAAGGCAACAGTAGTTTTGCATGCAGAAGAGATTTGGTTCAATTCCTTGCATTAAGTGCTGGACAATAAAATGCTTATGCTTTCTCTTGGCTATAGAACCATCTTTGGCTACTCTAACTAGGAGCTGGTCTGTAAAATGCAGCAGAATGCAGTGGAGGGATGAGGTGGCCGGGTCCAAATAGATGCAACCATGATTAATGACAAAGTGGAAAATAAGGGAGACACACAGAAAGAGATTTTTAGAAGAAAATCTGGAGCTGGTCCTGATTAGGATTAAGGCTTCATCAAAGACCACTCCCTCTCATATTCCTTACTAAGAAGATCCTGCTCTGAGTCTTCATGATTCTCATCTTTGGAAAGAAGCAAGTGCAGGACACTACGCTGACAGACAAGTCGATTGCCAAACAGAAGCATACACAGATGTAGATCAGGCAATTCCAACATTTCCCAAATATATCTCCATTTGATAGTTGTTGTGGGTTTTTCAGGCTCTTTGGCTGTGTTCTGAAGGTTGTTCTTCCTGACGTTTCGCCAGTCTCTGTGGCCAGCATCTTCAGAGGACTGGAGTAGGAACTCTGTCCATGCTCTGTTGCTGTTTGTTGTATAAATGAGTATTTATAGCTGTGGAAACAGCTTTTGTCCTTTTCAGGGGATAGGGTGATGATGGTGATCAGCGTGTTTTTGTTGTGAATGTATTGTTGTGAAAAGGAGGAGAGATTATCTGTCACTGTGATTGATGGGTGTCTTTAGCTGGTCTTTTATCTGCAATAATCCCTGGTCCTTGAGGCTGGGTAGAGTTCATTGACCTTTTGCACGCTATATTTTTCAGTGCTGGGAGCCGGGCCTTGTTAAGTTTTAGACTTTCCTCTTTTTTGTTGAAGATCTGCTGGTGCTTATGGATTTCAATGGCTTCCTTGTGCAGTCTAACATAATGCTTGCTGGTGTTGTCCAGTACTTCAGTACTTTGAAATAGAATTTCATATCCAACTTGTTTTAGGGCATGTTCAGCTACAGCTGATTTTTCCGGTTGTTTTAGTCTGCAGTGAAACGTCAGGAAGAACAACCTTCAGAACACAGCCAAAGAGCCCGAAAAACCCACAACAACCATCAGATCCCGGCCATGAAAGCCAAGGTGATGACATATCTGCATTTGTTCAATCCTTGACCAGAATCAAATAAGCAAATAAAAGGAGTGGTTCCACCCCCAGGGAGATGCCTCGGAAAGTGTCTTTCATCCTTGAGGCAACACCGTTCTTTCTGCTCAGCTTACACGCAAGTGACACCATGATGTGCAACACACATTAAGTGAATCTTTGGCTCATTATGAAGCTGAAAAAGGCTGAGCTTTCCTCAAAGGCCAGGAATAGAGATCTCTGGATTTTAAAAAGTTAACAAGCATGGAAATGATGGTGAATAAGAAAAGAAGAAAAAAAAAAGGTGATGGAAGGCTAAAATAGACCTGCCACCTTTTTTTCTTAATTGGCAGAGGGTCTGTATATTTAACAGCACCAAAAATCAAGAGGCTTCTTAAGATGTGATTATTGTCATTCCCCGAATCGCCATCTGGTTTCTACTGTGAAAGTTTATATGCCTCAACCAGCAGAAAGATAGTAGCCAAATTATCGATGACAAATGCACATTTTATTGCAATGTTTTCCCTCCAGATACACAATTTCTTCAAATGGTCATGCCTTAGAAATCAAACGTGCAATTGAGACTACTGCTTGTGTCCCAAAGATGAATTACAAAACAGAAACAAAATAATTTGCAACACACACACACACACACAAAATAAAATATGACAAGCTCCTGCTAAGGTAAACATTTGTCTTTTATCTTTAAAAGAGCTCTCCTTCTAAAGACATGATAAAAAAACATCATAGGTTGACTATGGGTGACTGTCCTACTATGATTGCTTCAAATTTTTATGGCCCCTGCCTTGTGACTTTAACAGAGTCTTTAACTTGCAAGCACAGCTCATGTTTAGCTCCTGATGATCCACCACAAGACAAGGGTAAGGTAATTGCAAGATACAGAGATGAAGAAAAGCTCATAGAATGACAAACATCCTACATTCTTGCTTAAATCCTATGCTCTTCCTTCTTAGCACCCCATTATTTTTATGGACTCTGTGCTTCTTTATCATTATACAGTAGACCTTTAAGCAGAAAATACTTTCAAATAGAGGAGTTGTCAAAAGCACTTAGAGGCATGACCTCTATAATGTACAAGACATGACCACTATACCTAGAAGATATTCCAGAGTCCAGCAAATAAACAGAAAGATAAGGCCGGATATGGCGAAGAGGGAAAG